AGAGTAGTTCAAAAATAAACATTCAGAGGGCTTTTACTTTGAAATCCAAAAGGAGATGGCTTTAATATTGACATGTTGCTACTAGAATAGTAGGGTATGTCATTTGTATCCAACATGAGAGTGTGCAAACAAGACTAATTGATATTTGTGAATGTGCTCTTAATTTACTAGAAGAGGCTTTTATTTAGAAGTCATGTTTCAGGAGCTTTTATTTTGAAATCAGGTTTCCACATCTTTTGCCATAATACTTTGAATACAGAGGAAACGTAAATCAAAGTGGAGGCTGGCTTGACACCAGTGAAACCTTTCAGTGTTGTGTCAGTGGCTTCACCTGTGCACACAGGTAACCTGCAGGTGTCAGATACTGCTGGGACCTCTGACCTCAGTGTGTAGGTGAAGCGTGCTGTTTGTCCACTCTGTGTGAGTGTGTGGTGGACATTAGTGCTGCAGCAGCACTCTGCGTGTTGCATAACAGCTTGTCCTCTGCATCGTCCTGCAGGAGCTCAAATTAAATGCAGACTCGCTCCTCTGCAGTCGCAGCTCTCCGAGAGTCACAATCCTCCTTCACTGCTTCATATCAGCTGCTGACACTTTGATGGTCCCAACATCACTGTGTGAACGCTCGGTGTCACGTGTGATTGGTCGCTGTGAGACAGGCGGCCGTACACTCTACCTGAGCTCCTTGCTCACCTGTAAAGGCTGATGCGTGTGTTTATGGGTAAACTGTTTGGTTGTAAACGATGCCCAGGACAAACTGGGTCTCAAACAGGAGAATATCTTATGTTTTAATGGTTTGGCCCAGCAGGCAGCCATCAGGGACCACTGTGGGGGACAATCATATCAGCAATGAAGTTAAAAAGTTGGGAAAATAATGAAAAATTCAGGAATAATGTTCATTTTGATGACTTTAATTGTTGACAGTAGGTTTGACTGGTAACGCAGCTCATGCAGTCTGATTGTGTTTGTCCTGAGCAGTGAGACGTGACAGCAGGGGTCAAACTTTCCCTTTGACCCTCACAGCAAATCTGCTTCAGCTGAGCTCCAGATTTTTATTCTAGAGCAGCTTTGAACGTCTGACATAAAAGAGCTGAAGTGAAGCCAAATGTCAAAACGATGAGAAGTGATCATTGCAAACACGGCCGAGCTTTTCCTGCTGTTTGTCTTTGATGGGTTTCTGTCCCGTTCCTGGTGGACCAGCCGAGCTTTGTTGGGTCTTTGGACGACTACCCTGAGGTGGCAAAAGTACACACATTCTGTACTTAAGCAGAAGTACAAATACTACTGTTCACAATCCTCCAGGAAAAGTTCTAGAAGTACTGATTCAACTTCTTTACTCGAGTAAAAGTGGAAAAGTACAGGCTCTGGAATCTACTCAAAGTTAGAAAGTAAAAGTAGCTCTTTGGAGGACGTTTCTACTTTTGTGCAAAGCTAACACAAAATCCAAACTTTACTGTAACTCTATTTTTATTCTAATTATTATGATGTGTGTGCGTTTGTGTGTGTGTGTCGACACTTTGCAGCTCTCAGACGTGCTGGATGCTGGCTTTGGCTCATTTGTGAGGCAGCAGCAGCTTTAAATGTGCGTGCAGCTGTTGTGTTGCGTGCACATGTGTGTTTCTGTTAGCAGTGGAGCTGCCGGCGTCTGCAGCTCTAATCCAGCCACTCCTCGCGCTCGGCATTCTTGTGGTGGGAGACTGAGAGCTCTCCTCTGCCCGGACTTGTCGCTCAGATTAAGTCACTCTGACTGATGACGCTTTTGTCCACGAGCAGATTAACAACAAACATCTTTGAAGCCGACCTAAACCTGTAAGTGACGCTTTGACTTCTAATTCAACCACGATGAGCGTTTACAGTCGGTCTGGATCCGGTCGGACAAAAGTGGATCTGCTGTCTCACGGGAGACTCGGCGCCCCGAGCTTTGCAGGGCTCGGCCTCTGAATGAACTGATGGAGCACACAGCTCACAATTAGAGCAAAATCTGCAGTTTCCCAAACTTAAAATTCCCAGATTATTCCAGTTTGACGTGGATTTCATGAATAAATGTGTGAAACTTGAGTGGGAGTGGTCAAAGGTGGGGGATCCTCTGTGGAGCTGGCAGCGGGGATTCTGAAAGTGATCGTGTTGATGGCGGTGGATCAGGTGACTGCGGTGTTGTTACAAGCTGCATCGCGGTGAGACGACAGGAGCAGCTCTATAAATTTGCAGGTTTACATATTTGGACACGACAGAAACAAACAAACCTCAGATAAATCAAAGTCCGACACATTAAACTGAGTTATTGTTTAATAAAAATCTGAGGCCACACTCACTGCTTCCATCGGCGGCAGCGAGAAGCTGAGCCAGGAGCTGCTGATGGTCGACTGAGCACGCCTGTGAAAGCAGAAGGAGCGTTCAGGTGATGCGAGAGAGGAAACATCAGCAAAGACCTCAGAGAAACAAACGCCGCTGCTCATCAGTCGGCGTTTTAAGGTCGTTTCAAAATAATCTGAAGTCGTCATTCTTCAGAAACGTGATGTCAGAGAGTCTGGGCCTCAGGTCAAAGTTCACGACGGCACAAATTTAAAATCCTGTGAGGTTGTTGATCCGAGCAGTCCTGGAGTTAAAGGTTTTCCCTGTTCCTGTTTTCCTATGCAGACACACACAGGTCGGGTCTTCATATCTTGTGGGGACATCGAGCTGACATTAACCTGTCACTGAAACCACATCCTGAGTCTCAA